CCCTCCCTCCCCAGGCCACCCACTGCTCCCCACAGACCTCTCCTACCCTGCCCGCTCACCTTGGTACGGGGCGACATTTATTTGCAGGAACGTGGGCAGCCACTCATACAGCACAATGTTCTGAAGGGGAGAAGAGGCGCTGGCATCAGCACACACCCCCACCTTGCACGGGACAGAGGCCCTGGCCAGCGTCGCCCTGGGGCTCTCACTCATGCCAGCCCCTTTTCCCCTCCCCCGCACGCAGCTCCCGGCCCCCTCACCTGGTAGGTGGCAATGACCCACTTGCGTGCGTGCTGGAACACGTCCTCGTCCGACCAGCCAGGGTTCTGCCGGGCCAGCTCGGAGGCCCGGAGATTGTGGTAGCGGAACCACGCGATGCTCTCGGCCTGCAGGAACAGGTTCTCGTTCCCTCTGGCATTCCCGAAGTCTACACGCGCCAAGCAGCCCATGACATGCAGGGTACAGACAGAGAAACGTTCAGTGAAGACAATCTGCTCTTGCTAGGGGCTTGCCACACAACATGACTTGATTGCTTAGACACTACCCCACAAGAACCAAAACCAGAGAGACACAAGCGAGCTGCTCCCTGAGGCAATTCTAGCTCTCGGCCAGCTCTTCGAAGACTCTTTGCTGAAAACCCAAACTGCACCTCTCCCTCCAGCCTCCTCCACCCTGCAAGAAGAACCAAGAAACCCCTTGACTCTTAAAATGGGAGGTAGGCTTTTTCAAGAATTTTCAATACATCACAGAGCCGACTGCTGCCAGGAGGGAGGAGAGGGGGTGTTCTTAGGTCTGTGTGTTGGAACTGGTTAGAGGGTGTTCGGTGCCCAGGTCTGCCAGCCAGAGGGGAACAGAAGAAAGGGAGAAGAGAAGATAAAAGCCCTTCCTCGTTCTTGTAGGTCACCAGTCACTATTTTCTAGTCCTCTCGCTGTATATGGGAGAGGAGTAAGAGAGATCGCACAGGAGAAATCGAGAAAACAAGGAGGCAGCTGATGGATTTAAAAAGCAAGACACTGAGCGCTGGCAAAGGGGAAATCCTTTGAACCCTGAGCAGAGCAAACTCATTGTCACAAGGTGCACCAAGAAAAGAGGCTGAATTAATTTTTTTTCCCGATGGTTTTTTATCTTTTCTCGTGGACAAAGGGCAGAGCAAACAAAGCTGTTAGACACCGGTCAGGTATCTGACCCAGGTGTCCGCTGAGCGATGCACAGTCAGAACACGTCCCACCCGCAGCGGGGTGTAAGCCCCGTCCCATGACCCGGCAGCCCTGGGAGATGCTGGGCGCATCCTCGATCCACGTAAAGGGCCAGAGAGCAAAGGGTGGCTGGGTAGAGACTTCAGGAAAAGCCGGGCAGGTTTGTTAGCAGCAGCCTAGATCATTTGAGATCAGAGGGGGAGAGTGGGTTTGGGCTGGGCTGGGAGCTGCCTTAAATTTACACTGAATCTTCAGCCTACACTGGGGTTCCTGGCACCCCCCTGGCATGATCTGGCGTTTCTCTCCCTCTCGGGCTGGGCCCCCGGTTCCTTCCCCAGCTGGGCACCGAGGGGTTTTTTCCAGCATTTTACCGCTTGCCAGGAGCCGGCTTTACTGTGATCTGGGCAACGTTATCCCAACGGGAACCTTCTCTGAGGGACCGTCCCTGAGCGTGGCCACCTGGCCGAGTTTCCTCCCCCTAGGGAGCCAATCAGGGTGCACTTGCGGGCATGAATGGGCGGAGCTTCAGCAACTGGGCCAAAGTTCGGACACTCTGCAGCTTGGAGGTTCTGCCCGGAGGCGCCACCCAGTAACTGCCCTAGGGCTGCATGGGCTGGAGGGATGGGTGGGCCTGATTCCAATGGTCCGTGCTGGCCTTAAAGTCTAGGCGACTGGCCAGTGCACCGCGGGTGCTAAGAGACATTTCTCATCACGGCGCTGCCCGATTGAGCCTCGGTTCCAAACCACACCCGGATAACAAGCAGGCTCATGTGTGGGCAGGCTCCCTAGATGCAGGGGGCATCCGGCCTCCCCAGCCAGCCCCTTGCTCCCTGCACCGCGGTGATGCCCTGCTTGGACGCACATGCTCTCCCCCAGCGGTGGGCTGCGGGTGCTAAGAGACATTTCTCATCACGGCGCTGCCCGATTGAGCCTCGGTTCCAAACCACACCCGGATAACAAGCAGGCTCATGTGTGGGCAGGCTCCCTAGATGCAGGGGGCATCCGGCCTCCCCAGCCAGCCCCTTGCTCCCTGCACCGCGGTGATGCCCTGCTTGGACGCACATGCTCTCCCCCAGCGGTGGGCTCATGCGGGGAACTGGGGCCTGGTTCTGATCCAGGATGGGCTGGAGACCTCAGCCCGGAGAGGGCGTGAAATAACCTCTCAAAGGGGAGGCTGAAAGGTGGGAAATGGATCGTGAGGCTTCCTTACCGTAGATCCCTTGGGACCCCCCTTCCCCGGTGGACGGGTCCAGAGCCTTCCACATGAAGTTTCTCCCGTTGGTCTGCTGCGGGAGGCTGGCTTCTGACCCTGATGCCAGCTTCCCACCGGAGAAACTCCTCAGGGCGTCACTCCAGGAATGCGAAGGGCCATAAATGGCGCTTCCGTCGAGCCAGCCCGTCACCACGTTGATCTGAGGAGAGAAGCAGGGGCCGGGGTGAGAACGGGACCATCAGCAGCCTCCTGGTGTCAGCATGGGGATGGCGAGAGACCAGAGCTCGGCTCCTCGGGCAGAGGGCCAGCTACCCGCCCGGCGAGATGCCCAGCGCGTTTTCCTCAGGGGACAGAAGTACTGGACTTCTCCTCAGCACGCCTGCTCTTGGGAGTCTGGTTCTAACCAGGGTTCCCTCTGGCGGCTGCTCCCTCAGGCCTAGAGCCACGTTGCCTGCTGTGGCTTTGCGAAGTCTGTATCCATCACAGCCAGGCCTCACGTCTCACGGGGGCCAACGTTTTCACTGGAAAATGGCCTCATTGGAAAATATAAATGGCCGAAGCCCCACCCCTTCCTTCCAAAGCCACACCCCTTCCCCAAGACCCCGCGTGGCATGGCCCCAGACTTTCCCAGCCACCAGGGGGCAGAGCAGTGTGGTCCCTGCCTTCCCCGGCCACCAGGCCGCTGCGCGCTGACCCCAGCCCTCCAGGGTGGCTGGGCAGTAAAAAACAGTTTGCTGAGTGTCCTGTCTGCTGACAGTGGCCTGTACAAGGTGCCTCCAGAGAGAATGAACAGAACAGGGAATCATCAAGTGATCCCTCTCCTGTCACCCGTTCCCAGCTTCTGACAAACAGAGGCTAGAGGCACCCTTCTCACTCAGCCGGGCTAAAAGCCATTCATGAACCTATCCTCCATGAACTTATCTAGCTCTTTTTTGAACCCCATTCAAATCCTGGCCTTCACAACATCCTCTGGCAAGGAGTTCCACAGGTTGACTGTGCATTGCATGAAGAAGTCCTTCCTTTGGTTTGTTTTGACACCTGCTATCTAAAACCTGGAAGTTTTAGAAAAGTGAAATCAACCCACTTGGACAAGCAGTGACATGAAATGACACGTGCAATGGGGTTTCACTTTGTGGCCAACTCTGCCTACTGTTGTATTGGTGGTGATGGTTACCACATATTCCAATATCCTGACATGTTGTTCTATCACCTGGTCACAGTCACACTGAGCCTGACACACTGTTGCGTGGAAATGCATTCGATCCCATGATGCTTTTTCCTAGCAGTAGGATTCAGGTGCCATAATGCACGTCCCTTTAGAAATGTCTATGGCGGCTCATTTGCACAGTCTATTGTGTATTACACCAAGAAAAAAAGGATTTACTGTACTGCCGAAAACATCTTGTTTATGGCCAGTCACACGCAACACGGGAGCAGAGAATCATGCAAAGGCTTGTTACCCGGAGTGCTGTAAGCACGTCATCAAACTAGTTATGGGGACTCTGCTCACGACCCATTTCTAACTCTCCTGCAGCTCCTGGCGGCACCAATGTCCTTGGGCGTTTTGACTCAAGCGATAACAATTCCTTCAGCGAGAGAACTGTTGGCTGCTGTCACTTTGGGCAGCTAAACTATCCAAACCAAACCATCACGGACGAGGCCCCGACTGAGAAGGCGAAAGACCCTCCCCACATTCCCCTGGCACACCAGAGCCTGGGGGGGGCCCAGCCTAGTAGATTTTGGTTGGGTGGTGGGTGGGGCTGGAGCGCCAGCACGGGCTCCCCAATGCTGGGGGGAAGGGCTAGGAGACTTGGGGGCTAGATCCAGACAAGCCGGGGCTGCATCCGGTCCCCGGGCCTAAGGTTCCCCACCCCCTGCTCTAGCGCGTCTGGGGGAACTGTGCTGTTCTCAGGTCCTGGAGAGGGGGGCACGGTGAGTAGGGCATGCGAGGACAGCGCTGCTTCCTAAGCTAGTTTGCTTCCTAAGCCACCTGCCCGTCGCTGAGGCCTGTTGGCACCTGCCCAGCCTCGGCCCAGCCAGGTCTGAAACACTCCTGCAAACAGCCGGCGGCGAACTACGCCCAGCCAAAAAGGGAAGAGAAAAGGCGGCGCCGCCCCTGCACCTGCTCTCGGGGGTGGTTGGGGCTCTGCCCCGTCTCCACAGACCACTTGCTGCGCTGGCAGGGCAGGACCATGTCGCTGGTGCCCTCGGGGTCGAACACGGGGTCTCGCTGGGGGATGAGGATGTTGATGAACTCAGCCGGGCAGCCGGGGTTCTCCACCGACAGGGTCTCTGCGAGCACGTGGAAACCTGGGGGACACACAAGCAGGGATGCTGAGCGGGCGGCTGGGAGAGGGCGGGTAGTCAGTTGCCCACCCCACCCCCGCATTCGGGATTCAAGCTCGTTCTGTGGGACACAACATCACAGCTGCCGGTCAGAGCTCAGTCTGAGCGGGTCGGAGGAGACGCATCTGGGGGCTGCAGGGCTGGACTGAGGTACACGCTACGTAAGTGGCAGCGGAGGCCTCAGAGGGGCCTCTAAATACCGAAAAACGACTCGTTGTTAGTCACACCCCCGCCGAGGTACCATTTTCATTGCCCTTTCTGTCAGAATAATACACATTTCCCCAGGCCCCTGAACCTGGCGCTGCGACGGGGCCTCTCCAACTTGACATAGTTGAGGGCCTCAGCGTGCCTTGGGGGAGGGAACACGGGAATGCTGAGCAAAAGGCCACGCTGAACCCACATTGTCTCTGCCACCGCTTTGCTAGCTGACCTTGGGGAAGTCACTTGATGTCTCGGTTCCTCCCACGCTTTGAGGTCTCCGGACGGGAGGAGTCCTGGGGTGGAGTACTGTGACCCCTCTGTGTGGCTGGGCAGCCGGACTCAGGGTTCACCCAGAGCCCCTTCATCAAAGACCCCCAGCAGGGCCGCCTGTCTCATAGACTCATAGACTCATAGACTTTAAGGTCAGAAGGGACCATTATGATCATCTAGTCTGACCTCCTGCACAGTGCAGGCCACAGAATCTCACCCACCCCTCTTAGAATAATCCTCTCACCTATATCTCCGATATTGAAGCCTTCAAATACTTTGAAGGTCCCAAGATGCAGAGAGTCCTCCAGCTGTGATCTGCGCCCCATGCTACAGAGGAAGGCGAAAACCCTCCAGGGTCTCTGCCAATCTACCCTGGAGGAAAATTCCTTCCCAACCCCAAATATGGCGATCAGCTAACCCTGAGCATGTGGGCAAGACCCTCCAGCCAGACACCCAGAAATTCTCTATAGTAACTCCTATCATCCCTCCATTGACATATTTCCCACTGAAAATGAATGGTCAATTAGTTACCAAGATCATATTCTCTCATCAACCCATCCCCTTATCATAGAATCATAGAACTGGAAGACATCTCAGAAGGTCATCAAGTCCAGCCCCCTGCTCTAGGCAGGACCAATCCCATCTAAATCAACCCGGCCAGGGCTTTGTCAAGCCGAGACTTAAACACCTCCAGGGATGGAGACTCCACTACTTCCCTAGGTAACCCATTCCAGTGCTTCGCCACCCTCCTAGTGAAATAGTTTTTCCTAATATCCAACCTGGCCCTCTCCCACCACAACTTGAGCCCATTGCTCCTTGTTCTGCCATCTGTCACTACTGAGAACAGTCTCTCTCCATCCTCTCTGGAACCTCCCTTCAGGAAGTTGAAGGCTGCTATCAAATCCCCCCTCACTCTTCGCTTCTGCAGACTAAACAGACACAACTCCCTCAGCCTCTCCTCATAAATCATAAGCTCCAGCCCCCTAATCATTTTGGTTGCCCTCCGCTGGACCCTCTCCAATGCATCCACATCCTTTTTGTAGTGGGGGGTCCAGAACTGGACACAATACTCCAGATGTGGCCTTACCAACGCCGAATAAAGGGGAATAATGACATCTCTTGATCTGCTGGCAATGCTCCTCCTCATGCAACCTAATATGCCATTAACCGTCTTGGCTACAAGGGCGCCCTGTTGACTCCTATCCAGCTTCTCATCCACTGTAACCCCCAGGTCCTTTTCTACAGAACTACTACTTAACTGGTTGGTCCCCAGCCTGTAACAATGCTTGGGATTCTTCCGTCCCAAGTGCAGGACTCTGCACGTGTCCTTGTTGAACCTCATCAGATTTCTTGCGGCCCAATCCTCCAATTTGTCTAAGACACTCTGGACCCTATCTCTGCCCTCCAGCGTATCTACTTCTCCCCCCAGCTTAGTTGGCTAGAGACGTGACTGTCATCAGCCTGACCTGTGCCTGGCTCCTTGCCCATCCCGGTTCTTGGAAGAGCCTGACCACCCGGCCTCTGAGCCAGGTCTGCCAGGGTCCTGAGGGGACAGGAGGAGTGGTTGGCCGCTGGGAGTGATGCTCAGTGTGCGAAGACCAAGGAGGCGTCAGTCCTGGCAGGCCGAGCCGGAGCATTAC